TAGCATTAACATTAAACCATCCTTCTTAAAATTAGATTTCTTAGAAAATCACCAAACTTCAAGGATGCTAATGACAATGAACTTAAAAGCAATAAGTTGTAATATTTCATTATTGTTACACAATAAAATAGAAAAAATTATTCTATTTAAAGTTTTACTTTCTCCATTATATATCCAAGCCAAACATCCATTGTTATAAAGTGTTTTCAAAATCCTTTAATCAATTTTCTTATCTAGAGATTCAAATTCTTTATAAAGGTTTTGGAATAAGAAAATTTCATCATCACCTGTAAATTCTCAATTCAAAGATTTCATATTTTTAAGAACTAATTAATTAATAATTTAAAGAAAATTTACTTTCTAAATTCGTATAAAAAATCCTTCATCAGATTCAATTCTTAACTTAAAGAAGTATTGATAACCTCTTAACTTAAAATTTTTATTATATAAATTACAGTCAAATTTGTAAATTTATAATTTATAATGAATTTATTATAATCCTTTGCACATACTAAAGATAAGTTACTTAATGAATGATTTTAATTTTAAATATCTCTTGAATTATAGTGGATATCTAATCTTTTTAACAAAATTTTCTTCGTTTTAGATATTATTTTACATTACATTAGGATAAATTAAATGGCTTTCAAAATAAATTAAAATGTTATGGAATAGGATACATCAAAAAAAAATTCTCAAATTTTATACTGTCTAAAATAGAAAACCACAATAAAGTTTATAGTTGATAAAAAGTTTTAATTAAATTATTGAATATCTATTGCAAGTATCAGTTATAAAATTAAAAATATATCAACGAAAATATTTAATAAAAATCTGTTTAAGCTGCAAATAACTTTTTTATTTATTCGGAAGAATATAGCCACTTGATATTATATAAGATACTATTTAATTGCAAAAGAAAAACCAATTTTACTTAGATATAGATAAGTCTCATTAAATACCCTTCACTAAAAGTAAAATTTAAGAATTCAAACCATTATTTAGAGAGATATTATTTTCTTACATTTTTAAGTATATTGATATTTTAATCCAATATAGTTCAAAGTAATTGATTATATTGCTATCTTAAATAATTTTATTAAAAATTAATAAAATGATAACAGTATTTCCTCTTAACGATGCTTTACAACTTTAAATATTAGAAGTCTGTATCAAAAGTTTGAAAAATTTCTTTGCTTGTCAAATTCATCAGAAGATAATTATTAAATAAATTCCAGTATTATAAATGAGTTGCACCTGCTTTTGAGATAATGTATGTTTTTAAATTTGAAATTTTATTAATCACAACTTATTCCATTATCATAATTTAAATTAAATAATCTTATAATGGTTGCTTAATAAATCATGAGGATGATAATTTATAAATCAACTATCATTTTAAGTCATGTATTAAAATATAAATGATCATTTCTGTTATTTTGATATCAAATATAGATTGCCAGATCGAATCCAAAAATATCTCTTTATTTGAAAGTCTAATTTTTTGACCTACTTTGTTTATAATTTTTTACAAAAGTATAACAAAAAAAAAATGAACTTATAAAATCAAAATTGGTCGAAAACTTAATAAATTCCTAAATTATTTTTTCTCATTCCATAATAATATTTTAAAAATTTAATACCATGTGATGCAATATAATTTTATTTTATTTATTTCCAAATCATTGTTTACAAGCATATGATCAGTATTTCATGGATTTTTGTTGATTGAAGCTATTTCCAGATGTAGAATGAAATGAATGCCTAAAAAAAAAAAGTTTGTAAAAACCATTTATCTATTAAATTATAGGTTAACTTTATCGATATCTTATTTTTATAATTATAGAATAATGAAGCTGTAGATCTTGAAAATGATTTTAATAAATACATATCAGAAATCTTCCTATTCTTATTTCCTTTTTTAAAATTTAACTATCACCCCTAAAATTCTATCTAAATCAATACAAACCATTTTTAGACTATCGATTAGAAGAAGAATATTCTGGTTTTATAGAAATTTTTCAATAAGTTTAATTTATTAGTCTGTTTGTAGTGATTGGTCATTAAATAAAAGAAAAAAAATAAATCTTTTAGATCTGAATTTAATTTTTTTAAAGGATTTGTTTTCAAATAAATAGATATAGATAATAAATATTATCTTTGGATGGTTCAATAGTAAATTATTGATTTAATAAAAATTTTGCTTGAATTATATTTTTGATTCTCTGAAATTAAAGCAAAAAACCTAAAAATTTAAGCAATAAAAACTTTTTATTTTACTATTATTGATGATAATTTAGAACAACTATCCTTAAAAGGTTTAAAAAATAAAATTATTTGATATCAATAATACTACAAAAGTAAAAAAATTATAATAAACTTCCTTATTATCTTGCTAGTTTTTTACTATTGAAAAATTTAATTTATTCTTTAGTATTAATTAAGAATACGCAGTGTTTTTCATGCTACATAAATACTTTAAAATCATATTTAATTAACAAGTAATTTTCTTAAATCTTCTAATTTTTTTTTTTAATTAGTTAGGTCGAAGTCTTTGAATACATTTATCAATATTATGATGACATAATAAATAAATTTGTTGAATTTTGTTACATCTAAACGTTTATTTGTATCTTTTTATTTACTAAGTAATACATTTGAATCAAAAGTACTTACTCTGCTTTTCTACTTGTAAACTGAAATTAATTTATGGATCACAAAGATATTTTGCTTTATACTTCAGAATTTTTTCATACTCAGTTATAAAATATAGTTTTTCATTTTATTCATGCAGCAAATTTTTGATTTTATGGATTGCCAAATAACTATATTTTAGCAGCTATTGGTAGGTATAAATGAATGTTGTGAAAACTAGAATCAGAGTGATTAACCCTGAGGAAATAAAATTTTAATAGTATTAAATTCAAGAAAATCCTTTTTCATCAATTAATTACCAATTTTAATACTAACAAAAGTTAAGAAATTTGTAAAATTTATATGGTATTAAAAAATTGATAAATCCTAATATTATCATAATGAAAAGTGTTTCAAAATTTTCCTAGAAGTAATAATAGATTTAATAGTATTCAAATTATCATTTAGTTATTATGACTATTATGACTGGAACTTAATAATTAAAGATATTTTGTAAATTCTGATCTATTTAAGATTGGAGTAAAAGATAAAATAAAAAAATCATCTCAAAATTAATATTCAAAGCTTTCTGGAAATTCAATATTATGAGATTTTGAATAAAATAATTATGAAACATATCAAATTTATTCCATGTTTTTTTTAAATTGCAGCAGAAAAAGAAATTCCGCTTATAATAATGATGACATATAATAAAATCCTTCACGTAATGGAGGTTTTTTTCAATAACTCAAAATATGTAAAAATCAGAATCATATATAATTTAAAAAACAGGAAATTTACCTACGTGGGAGATAGAAAGAACAAATCTTTAGTTCTCTACTATAGATAATTTTTACCATTTCAAAGAAAAGAATACTATATAAAGAAAATAATTAAAATACAAACTCAAAAAATGTTAGTAACTTCTAATAAAGGAAAACCATTTAGACCTCAAAATACTAAACTAATAATTATGTTATGCATTTAAAAAAGTAAGTCATCAACAGATAATGAAAATACTCTATGAGCATGATAACTAAGGTAGTTAAGGATTACAAACAAAGAATAATATTTTTGCAAATAATTTTATAACCGACCATATAAATCTTATTAAACATTTCAAAAACAATAAAAAAAATAACATAAAGGAAGATAGCCAAAGAATATTAAATAAGAAAAATAAAATAGGGATAGAAATAAAAATGAGCGAATATCATTAAAATCTTTACCCTCCATGAGTAATAAACACCAAAATGATTAAATTTAAATTAATTACGTGGAATATAAATTCCTCACACCTGAAACTCGCTCATTAATTAAGACATACAATTTTCACTTTATTTGTTTATAAGAAGTAAGAAAATTTCTCAATAAATGATTCAATAATTATAAATACAATTATAAAAGAACTGGCTCACTTATTAAGGTGGAATAAATAAAGATACATAAACAATTCAATTCATAAGGTATTCCTCACTTACCTACTTCCATACATATATCACCTTATTTATTTAATATCTATATAAATGGATGAATTTTTAAATACTCTCAAATAATAATTAAGTTATGAAATAATACCCTGTATTAAATAAAATAATTACGAAACCAACTGTTTAAATAAGTATTAAGACTACCAAAAAATACCCCAAAAGCTTTTACTAGGGTATAAAAAACACCCTATTAAATTAATTAAAAAGAATAGATAAATCAGATTTTTTTCAAGGTAGAAAGAAGAAGATTAAAAAAACAGAAAATATTAATAATTTACTAATCAAGGTGTCAGTTATTGATAGAAATATTTCAAAATCATGAAACAGAAAAACTTACCTTTAACACATTATATTACAGCATATAAATTTTGAAAATTCAGACATCTTTTATCATTGGTTAGAAGAATTATAAAACTAAGCTTAAAGTAAATAAATTGAAGACAGCAATTGAACAGATAATTATGGATTCGAAGAACGGCAAAAAAGAAAACAGAACGATTATAAAGAGTATAATTATTAAATAAGTGTTTATTATTCCCTGAAATGGGTTTCATAATAATAATTAAATTTCTCTGTATAAATTAATAAGTTCAAGATTATGTAAATCTTATGCTTATGTTTATAGAAAATGCATAAATGAAAAAAATAAATAATTAAAATCAGATATAATAATTAAAAAATGTTATGCTACAATAGATAAATGGTATATTTAATAATTTCTATTTATATTTTGTAAATTTATAATTTACACTGATAACTAATTTTATTTTAATAAATTTGAGCTTATAATTCATATATAAGTATTTATTTATCCTATTTACTTTTAAGTTAATCTTACTTATTGACTTCTCTCTCTACTCCTCTTTATATTAAAATCATATAATTAGATCTCTTTTTATTCCATAATTAAAAAAAAACTTTTTTCTTCTAGAAAGGAATATATAAGAAATCATTAATACTTTTCTTGCATTTCATTAATTCACTGTTTAATATTAATTTCCATTTTTATAAATCTATAAAAGTAGTTTTATTCTGATAGTAATCAGATTAAACAACAAAAAACCTAATTAAAAATATATACTGGATAATCAGATTCATAGAAGTAATTAGATTTATCATAATAATCTGTTCTTCAAAGTTTTTGATCAAATTGATAGATTTAAGATTCCATTTATAGATCAATATATAATTATCCAAAAAAGTAAATGCTATTATTTAATTAATATAATTTTACATCTATTAAAATGCTTCACTCTATTAATTTCTATATAAAATATCCCATCTACCAACCTTTTTACCATTTTTGTATTGACCTTGATAAATAACTTATGAACAATCCCTAAAATTATTACAGTTTTCAATCCACCTACCAATCTTAATTGAATTTATCTTATCATATAATCCACCACCACTATAACATAGAATAGATTAATTCTTACATTTATTTATTTCTTTTGGTTTCATAATCTTTATACCAAATTTCCCATAAACCAATCTTCTAACCATTTTAATATTCACCAATATATGTAATTTAACTTCGACTAAAATATTAATCGTTATCATTACTTCGAAAATCTATCACTCAACTCTATCCACTTTGCAATTCTTTAACCTTAATAATTATATTATCCAAGGCCACTAAATAATTAATAAATATAAACATTATGTTATTATGAAATATGTATTTCCATACCCCAACTTTATTGTTTTTATAGTATTCTCCAATTACATATACTTCAGCTTAACTATTTTAATATTTTATATTAGAATTTACCTCCAATAATTATGAATTATTTCCCTCCAAAATCCCTATTTTTATCCATCAAGGAAGTATCCACCAACATCTTTAAGAACTTTTCCATTCCAAAAAGCCATACTTTTCACAATTTTCATCATGTTTATTTCATTTTCTTTTTTCCATTGAAGAACTCCACACTTGATTTCATTTACATAAGAACTTGGGAACAAACATTTAAAAATGTTATTATTATTTAATGCTAGAGAGAATAAATGTAAATATATTATCCAAATACTAGATCTGTAAAGATCTTACAGATTTATTAATAGAATTTAAGAAATTGAAAAAACAAAAGAGATTCTAAAATATTTTATTGAATAAGAAGAATCGAAAAGAATCTAAATAACAATCCTATTATAAATTTTCAAAAAGCATATCTAAATACCATCCTTAAATATCTATGATAGTGGTTAGATTAGGTTATTAAATTTTGAAGCGTATCCTCGATTAGTCTTTATAAAAGGACACAAATCTATAATCCCTGCCATCATAATAAATTTGATAAAAATGATTATTATCTAGTATTATCATTCTTTTCAATCCAGAATTATATAATATTAAATAATTGATAAATTAATGATAAATAATAAATTGAATAGTTTTATAGCAAATCATTATTTTAACTCTTATTTAAAACCGATTTGAAGGAGCATATAGAAAAGAATATTAAATAAAATGAATCTAATATCATTTAAATATTAGAATTAATTGCATAAATATGAAAGAGTTCATCTAATTTTTGATGGTCAACAAAAAAATACACATGGCAATACAATGGATTAATAGCATAATTTCTCATTTATAAAGTGATATGTTTCAAAATAATTATTCTTAAGAACATCATAATTGGTTCCAAAATGATATAAAATAAAAAGAGTGAACTAAATAAATGGGAGAAATGAAAATATTGATTATTAATGGTCTTTTAACTATATAGATTTATATTGATAATTCATAACATCTTCAATTAAAGAATAAATTCCAGATATCAAAGGAAATGCAAGTAAATAGATAATAACAATTAAAATACTCCATTTCTCTGCAAATCTATAAATAGTCCAAAAAATCTAGAGAATAATTTTCATAAATCGAAAAATTCCTCTATTGATGAGTAAAATTGCATATATTGTAAATTAATCTAAAAACCTTCACATTTTAAAGTAGATTTATTAGAATAGAAACCTGTTTAACAAACACATCTATTCGAGACATCCAAGGTGACATTCAAGCTTCTAGTCAGAATACTATATATTGAGAAGAATTATTATCTAATTATTTGATTTATTCAAAGTTTTCTTATTCCAAATCTAAAGAATATTATTATCAGATTATTCATTATTTAGATTGCCCTTTAATGGCCATCCTTCTTTCAATTTAATTGCCTAGCCAAAAGAATAAAAAGTACAAAGCTCATCCCTAACCGTTGAAACAGAAAATAATCTTTTTTTCCCCATGCAAATAGATTAAGTTAAAATGGACAAGAAAATCAACTTACTTTAGAAAAATAGCTTAGAAAGTATTTTTTCGAAATATTAATAAAAAAAATAAACTTGATAAAATTTGTAAACTACTTTTTAATGAAATCTAATTATTTAAAACTCTTGAAATTTTTCAATTATCATAATTAATATCTTTTATTTTTTTGAAACCTTCTTAAAGTTTCCATCTCTTTTTTTCCAATTCCATCCATATACCAACTTTTTTACCATTTTAATATTCTCCATCATAAATGACTTACGAATATCTATCAAAAATATCACTCAATTCAATCCAAACTCCATTTTTAATAGAACTTATCTCATCATAATGTCCGCTTCCTCTAAAAATGTTAATTTTTATTACAATTATTCATTTTTCTTTGTCTCCCAATCTTTATACCAAATATCCCATCTTCCAACTTTTTTATCTTCTTTATATTCACCACTATATGTAACTTATGACCAATCCCTATAGTTATGACTTAATTCAATCCAATTTCCAATCTTGATTTCGCTATCTCCATCTTCTTTATATAAACCACCTCCACTATATTTTGAGATTTGGATATATATTTACATCTGTTATTCTTCATGTACAATATCCCATCTACCAACTTTCTAGCCATTTTTATATTAACCAGTCCAAGTAACTTAGGAATTATAATAAAACCTTAAATTTTATTCAATCCACTTCCCAATTTTAGTTGAGCTTTTCTCATCATAGAATCCACCACCACTAATCATGAATTATATATTAATCTATACATTAATTTTTTCTAATTTTTATGGCAATCTTTAAACCAAATTTCCCATTTGCCAATTCTTTTACCATCTTTATATTCTCCTTAATAAGTGACTTACGACCATTTATAAAATTCTTCGCTTATTTCAATCCAACTTCCTATTTTAATTTAATCTCCTTAAACCTAATCATCATATGAACCCCCACCACTAAATTTAGTTTTTATTTTAATTATATAATTTTACATCTATTAAAATGCTTCACTCTATTAATTTCTATATAAAATATCCCATCTACCAACCTTTTTACCATTTTTGTATTGACCTTGATAAATAACTTATGAACAATCCCTAAAATTATTACAGTTTTCAATCCACCTACCAATCTTAATTGAATTTATCTTATCATATAATCCACCACCACTATAACATAGAATAGATTAATTCTTACATTTATTTATTTCTTTTGGTTTCATAATCTTTATACCAAATTTCCCATAAACCAATCTTCTAACCATTTTAATATTCACCAATATATGTAATTTAACTTCGACTAAAATATTAATCGTTATCATTACTTCGAAAATCTATCACTCAACTCTATCCACTTTGCAATTCTTTAACCTTAATAATTATATTATCCAAGGCCACTAAATAATTAATAAATATAAACATTATGTTATTATGAAATATGTATTTCCACACCCCAACTTTATTGTTTTTATAGTATTCTCCAATTACATATACTTCAGCTTAACTATTTTAATATTTTATATTAGAATTTACCTCCAATAATTATGAATTATTTCCCTCCAAAATCCCTATTTTTATCCATCAAGGAAGTATCCACCAACATCTTTAAGAACTTTTCCATTCCAAAAAGCCATACTTTTCACAATTTTCATCATGTTTATTTCATTTTCTTTTTTCCATTGAAGTTTTTAGATCTACTCCAGATTAGTAAAATTTTATGGATTATTTAAAACATCTTGTAGTGATTAGCTATTATTAAAATATAAAATATTCTCACACTCTCAAA